TGGGTATTTGATGGGTCTTATATTTTAAAGCTTAGATGTTTATGGGTAGTTGATATTTGGACTGATTTGTATTTTTCATGTTGAATTAGTGGTTGCAAACACTAATTTGTGCCTATTTGACTTAGGATCTTCTTGAGAAAGAGAGCTTGAGTCTAGAAAAATCAGTCCAACAAGGAATTGGGGAGTATTCAAGAGATTGATAGCCCCAATTAAAGGGTTAAACCTAGAAATAGTAATATCCGACTTGAGCGTATATTGCTTGCACAATTTTGACACCCAATTAGTCTTGAGAAAGTCAATTAGGGCAAAGTCACTCAAGCTACCGAGAGGTATAAAGTGAGTAGTTTTGTGCATTGGCTATATCACAATCCCCAACATAACAACTTTGCCTTAGGTTTTAGAACCCGTCAAGTATTCACCTAGGAGTAAACCACTTCCCTAGTGCCTCTTTAACTATTTAGAAAACCTTACAAGTATTCATACTTAGTTTAATTTCGCATATCATTAGCATAAAATTAGAAGTAACAAACAAACAAATATGATTGGAAGTGTAATTAAAATCACTACACACTGCTAGTTTAGATAGGAATCTAAATCCCAAACATTCTAGCTCCTTGTAGATTCGATACCGACCTTTTGGGGTAAAAGCTGCATCGACCGCTCTTGCCACTCCGTAGTTATATAGAATTGGACTCGATCAGGACATAGTGGAAGAATTTAACAAGATAAGCCAAATAAGGTCTGCTGATGAATTCCTAGGCAAGTTTGAGGACATGAAGGCTCAAATGTTGGTAAGGAATCCTCATTTGGATGAGTCACACTTTATATCTTGTTTCATTGGTGCGTTAAAGGAAGAGATTAGGTTTTGGGTGAAATTGTTCAAACCTTCAACTCTAAGGTTTGCTGTATAACAAGCTAGACTGTAGGAGAAGGCAATAGAAGCTGCTCAAACGAAGAAGAAGGGCATTCCAAAGCCCTCATTTGTGGCTAGAAGCTTTGTTAACACAAGGGCACCTGCTGCAGCTGCAGTAAAACCAAACTCTTTCAGGCTTAGTCCTGAAGTTTATGAATGCAGGAAAAGCAACCATTTTTGTTATAGGTGTGGTGAATGTAAGAAGAAGAAGAACATTGTAAGAAGAAGCAGTTGAATTGCATGACATGAGCAGCAAAACCACTTCCTGAGAGTGTTGAGATAGAAGAAGAACAACCATGTACATACTTGATTATTGAAGGAGAGCTGGAGCAAGAAGTCATTGTAGCTATGTGCATGAATGTTCTAACAGGTGACAATAGAGGAGTCAACACCATATTAGTTAGAAGTACCATAAGGAACAGGAAACTAACATTGCTAATTGATTCTGGCATCACTCATAGTTTCATTGATGTTATCACAGTCAAAGAGATAGGATACCAAGCTAGGCATTGCCCACACGTGAGAATGACAGTGGCTGATGGGAATTATGTCATGTGCACTTCTATTTGCATAGGATATCAGTGGAAAATGCAAGGTAGACCCTTTCAGGAAGACTTACTAATCATTCCACTTAAAGGCTGTGACATGGTGATAGGTAATGATTGGAAGAAGAAGCATAATCCCACTAATTTTGACCATGAAAAGATGTGTGTTACCATTGGCAAGAAAGGTAACAAACTAGTATTGTAGGGTATCTTTGAGGAAGGTAAACTGAATATGATTTCAAGTGGAACACTGGGGAAGATGCTGAAGAAAGGCCAAGCTCTAATAGCTCATCTGTTCATGATGAATTCCTTGGTGATAGAAGGTCAGGAACCAGTAGGAGAAGCCATTTAAGAGGTGTTACACCTATATCCTGATGTGTTTGCAGAACCTAAATCTCTGCCTTCTGTCAGGACCTTAGATCACACCATTCCTTTGAAACCTGGAGCAATTGCCAGTCAGTCTGAGGCCTTACAGGTACAACTATTATCAGAAGGATGAGTTAGAGAGACAAGTTAAAGAGATGCTCACCAATGGCATAATTCAGCATAGTCAATCACCATTCTCATCACCAACACTGCTTGTCAAAAAGAAGTATAGAACCTGGAGGTTTTATGTAGATTATAGGGGATTGAATGACATCACAGTGAAGGATAAGTATCCTATACCTATTGTGGATTACATCCTAGATGAGCTGAGTGGATCTGTGATCTTTTCCAAGGTTGATTTGAGAGCTGGTTATCACCAGATCAGAATGAAGTTAGAAGATATATACAAGACAACTTTCAAAACTCATATTAGGCTATTATGAATTCAAGGTGATGCCATTTGGATTAACAAATGCACTAACTACCTTTCAAGCTCTGACGAACCAGGTTTTTCAACATTTCCTTACAAAGTTTGTTTTGGTCTTCTTTGATGATATCCTTATCTACAGTCTATCTGAGAAGGATCATGTGACGCACCTAATTGCTATATTTGATACCCTAAGGAAATACTCCTTATTTTCTAAATGGTCTAAATGCTCAAATTGGTCAATCTAAGGTTGAGTACTTAGGACATATCATAACTGCAGAAGGAGTATCTACTGATCCTTCTAAAATACAAGCTATGGTCGATTGGCCTAGACCAAACTCATCGAGGGAATTGAGGGGATTCTTAGGGTTGACTTGGTACTATAGAAAGTGTGTTGCTAACTATGGAGTTATTTGTAGACCTTTGACTGACTTGCTTAAGAATGATGCTTTTAAATAGAATGAAGAAACTAACTTAGCCTTTACAACCCTTAAGAGAACTACGTCTTCTACACCAGTGTTGGCCTTACCTGACTATACTAAGGAGTTCATAGTTGAGACAGATGCTAGTCAAAGTGGCATTGGGGCTGTCCTAATGTAAAAAGGTAGACCAGTAGCCTATTTTAGCAAGGTTTTGGCTCAAAAGCACACAGGTAAGTCAATCTATGAGAAGAAGTATATGGCCTTGTTGAATGCAATGGACAAATGGAGGCACTATTTACAGTACAAGCATTTTGTAGTCAAAACTGACCACCACAACTTAAAATACCTTCTGGAACAAAGAGTTACTTCTGTTATACAACAGAAGGGACTGACCAAATTGCTTCGGTTAGATTATGAAGTGCAGTACAAAAAGAGGGCTAAAAATAGGGTAGTTGATGCCCTTTCTAGGCAACCGGAAAGATTAGAATACAACACAAGCCAATTCCAAGGAACATTATAGGTAATCAGTGTCTCGATTCCTTCTTGGATGCAGGAGATAGCACACAGTTATGAAGGAGACACTAAAGCTACAGAATTGATCAGTCAGGCAGCAATGACTCTACAAGGACCTAACATCTGGCACTATACTTCCAGCATACTCAGAAGAAAAAAAAAGATCTACATTTGTACTAGTGGTGGTCTCAAAACTCAGTTGATCTCCATATTCCATGACTCTCTTGTAGGAGGACATTTAGGACAACTTGGGACTCTAAAGAGGTTATCACTAATGTTCTATTGGCCTAGGATGAAATAGATGGTAATTGACTTTGTGGCTTGCTGTGATATTTGTCTTAAGAATAAGGATGACAACACGACATATCCTGGACTATTGCCGCCTCTTCCCATTCCAAACCAATCTTGGAGCCACATTAGTATGGACTTCAGAGAAGGTTTGCCAAAGTCCAAGAACAAAGAAGTGATCCTTGTAGTGGTTGATAGAATGACCAAGTATGCACATTTCATAGCCTTTTCACATTCTTATACAACAACAACAATAGCTGATGTGTTCTGGAAGAAAATACACTGCTTACATGGCACTCCTGAGTCCATTGTAACTGACAAAGATAAGGTATTTCTAAGCAATTTTTGGCAGTCCTTATTCAAGCTCTTGGGAACTCAATTACACTACAACATTGCTTACCACCCTTAGAGTGATAGTCAAACTGAAAGGGTTAATAAGTGTTTAGAGAATTATCTCAGGTGCATGACTGCTAGTAGACCAATACAATGGAAGCAGTGGCTTACTGTTGAGTGGTGGTATAATACCAACTTCCATACCAGCCTGCAATGTACTCCTTTTGAGGCCTTGTATGGTTACTCACCCCCTCAGCTATCCCTAGGGCCCTTATTGGAGACAATGGTGCAAGCAACTGAAGATACAATGATGAGAAGACAACAAATGCAACAGTTGTTGAAAGACAACCTCACTAAAGCTCAGGAGAGAATGAAATACTATGCTGATAAAAGAAGATCAGATAGAGAGTTCCAAGTGGGAGATATGGTCTATTTGAAACTACAACCTTATAGGCAAACCTCCCTTGCATTGAGAAGAAACTTAAAGTTGCGTTCTAAATATTATGGACCCTATAAGATTCTTGCCAGAATTGATAGTTTTGCTTACAAATTAGATCTTTCCCCTGAATTTAAGGTCCACCCTATGTTTCATGTCTCTCTACTCAAGAAAAAGATAGGTGATAGAGTGGTAGTGCAGACCACTCTGCCTATCACCGGTAAAGATGGTCAGTTCTTGGTAAAGCCAGTTGCTATTCTGCAAAGGCAATTGATAAAGATGAACAATGCTGTTGTGGTTAGAGTGCTGGTACAATGGTCCAATCTACCTCTGAAAGATACCACATGGGAAGATTATCAGTTCATCAAAGCTAAATTTCCAAACTTCGGCTCTAATCCTTGAGGACAAGGATCCTTTGAAGAGGTGGGGGTATGTAATGATCCAATAATCATTACAAGATCAGTGTTGCCGTCGAGGTTCGATGAGAAGAAGCTGAAGATAAGCAGTAACAGAATCGTTGAAGGAGAATACCAGAAATTCAAATTAATGGCTAGGATTAATTTTGAATTAATGAGCTACAAGGGCTAGGATCGTGCCACGTCAGCTGAGGTTGTTATAACTACCTTCAATAGAAAGAGGAAGGTAACGATTCCCAGGTCATTCCTCTCTTTCTCTCTTTCCTCACTCGATCTCTACTTCTACTCTTCTCTCTCTGACTATTTCTTCTTCTTCTTCTTCTTCTTCTTCTTCTTCTTCTTCTTCTTCTTCTTCTTTCTGCAGATCTTATCCAGCTATGGAGTTCAGCTATAGTAGATAGTTATTTTAAGTTTGACTATTATAGTTCAACTTCTTTCTTTTATTTATCTTTCATTTATATATAAACAGAAAATTCTCTTAATTTCGCAGTTTAGTTGTTTAATTTCTTTGGTTCTTATTGAGATTATTATAATGACACCAATGGTGATTCGTTTATTTGCTGACAAGGCAACTTTTTTCGGTGAGAAGGAATTGCCGGGCAATTAACGAGGATCCAGGGTTAATCTTAGTTCCGGATGAATTTGTTTTTGCCAAAGTTGGTGAGATGGTAATTTAGTAACAAAGAAAACGTAATTTCGGCGGGTGTTGTCTCTTTTTTTAGCCGAAATTCTTCTGTTTCCGGTTACTGTTTCTTCCTTATCTCTCTCCAAAATTTGTCTTTTTTGTTTTCTGACGTGGCTTTTTAATGTTGGTCATATTTTCTGCATACCTTAAGTGGTACTCACACGTTGGACTTGGTTTAGGATTGTAAAATATGTGTTCAATTGACACAGATTAAGTATAAATAAAGTATTCAATAGGTACAAACATTAGTTTAAGTGTCTAAATGAAAAATTAGGACAAATTTAAGGTGCTATATGTATTCAGCCTAGTTGCAAAGAAGAAGATGATGATGTGGATATATGCATTTGACATGGATCTGATGTGTTATCCATGTCAGGGGAAGTGAGACACACACATAAGGAGGGGTTTAAACTATTTATTTTGATATAGTACAAGAGTTCCAATGAAGTTCTGTAAAATAGAGGGATCAAGATGACAAACCAGAACAAGGATAGGAGGTTACTAGGCTATTCTGCCAAAATAGAACAGTGAATTCAATTCACTACAGTTCGCAGCGCGCACTCGATTTCGACACCGAGAAGCAAAAAAGCAATGGAACCTTCACTTCATCTTCAAGTTTTCTTCAATTTCGAGACAGACGCATAGCATATCCAATTCCTCACGTCACTGAATCAACAACCCAACTATTTATACGGTCTCTCTCTCTGTTCCCATCCTTACCCCGTGAGCTCAGTAAAGTTTGCATCTTTAATACTCCTTCTATTGTGGTAAAAGTATTTTTTTTTTAAATCTGCAGAAATCAGAGAACCCCATTTGTGAATTTGAACTAAAATTGATAGTTCCCTTTTTCTTTTTTGTAGAAATGGAGTTAGGGCTGGTCACCCTGCTAAGAGCTGCATGGATTGCTGCAACTTTGCCAATTGTTATTGCTTTGATTCCTTCCTCAAAGCTTAGGTCTTTTCAACAGTTCTTGTTGGGGTTTGCTAAGCGTGGCAAGATTATGCAGTCTTCCTCAAATGTAAGTATGCCATTCGAAAACTTGTTTCTTGTGCTCGGATCCAGGATTTTAATTTGATCGGTTCAACTTTTAAATTTTCAGCACTTAAACCATGACACACTTGAAATAATAGGCTCAAAATGTAATCTTATTTTCCGCATATATGTCTAGACTCTGTGTCGAAAATGGAGAGACCCGTTGTTTACATGCTCCATCCGCCATTGTTCTTGCGTGTTCGTGTTCTTACTATGAGCCAACGTCATTCGACATTACCAAAATATTTTAGCACTCATAGTTCAATTGATCAATAATTTATTTCTAAACTGATCAATGTGCATTGTTGGGTCGTCGTGCAGTTTTGAGGTGAGAAATCAAATAAATCAAGCTAAGAAAACATTAGTAGTGCTGATAAGATATTGAGACTTCAGAATTTGATAGTTTTTCTGTGTTGTATGATCCGAGGTCAGCTGACTTTATTGACCTGTCACTCCCTTTGGCTTGTTTGTTCAATTGCAGAAACTCTCTGTTCCACAGAAACTCTTCATTCACTTCTATGTTTTAGCTTTTGTTTGGACAACACTTCTGTTAGCTGCAACGTGGCTTTATGCGTATAGTACAACGCCAAAGATCTCAGAACCATTGCTTTTTTCTAGTATTACTAGCCACTTGACTGGAGGATCACGTATCTTCTCTTTACAAGGATCCCATACATCAAAGGAACATAGAAGCAAGATTGGTTTATCAGTCTTTCTGCTTTTATTAATGGAAGCTCAAATACTTCGACGCCTCTTTGAGTCAATATACGTGTTTAAATATAGTCCTTATGCCAGGATGCACATTTTCGGCTATCTCACAGGTTTATTGTAAGTTGGCATCTTACTATGTTTCTTTTTCTAGTAACATATTTCCATATTTCTTGTTGTGTTTTATTAGCTGGGTAAGTAAACATAGTTTACCATAATCAATGTAGACTGTCTAAGGTTAGAGCGGACTCCTGTTGTTCTGTGTATTTGTTGTTCTCTTTTTTGTGTGTTATTCTTTTTTCTTTGACAGGAACTTCAATATTCGCCACCCTTTCTATTATTATGTCGATCAGAACTTCATTGGCCTGATACACATTAAGAAATAGTAAAATGGTCTTATCATTTAGATACTACCTTTTTACACTTGCTTAAACTGAAACAACGATCGGATCATGAGTTATTCAGGGGAGAAATAAGCTGATTCTTTTATCAAGGTGCCCCTTCCTGTTTACATTAATGTTAAGTCTCATAATTGAAGTGACATAGCAAGATCATGGTGCCATCATTCACTAGTGCTAGTGAATTAGGTATCCATCCTTTTTCGGATCTTAACTTCGTCATCTCTATTTAGACTTTAGAGTTTCCAACTAGGCTTTACTTTTGCTAAAAGGCATCTTATTTGTAATTTTGTATAGTAAATTATCTGAAATGATTCACATTTTGTAGAAATCTTAGTCCCTATTTCCTGTTTGGTGACAACATTAGTAAATTCTCTTTTAGTACCTGACTTTTTGAAGTTTCGATAACACATACAATCCAAGATATCCAATGGACAAAAACGCTTTCTGAATTTTGCTTTTTTATTTTTATTTTGTATTCAAGCTTCTATACAGCAGCTCCCCTCTCTCTTTGCTGCAACTATGCTAGAGAGGTGTACAAGTTCGGGTTGAGTTTGATTCAAGAGTTTATTGTTAAAGGAAAAGATAGGATGCTAGCAACTGAGGTTGATTGGTGGAGATTTTTGAATCCTCTCGTGCAACTAAGATGGTACACATGGATTGGTGCAGCGATTTTCTGTTGGGGTTGGATTCATCAATGCCGGTGTCATGCAATTCTTGTAAGTGCCATGTACTATTGATTAAAGATTCAGATTTGTGTTTGAAGTTGGGACTCTTTTAGCCACTTGGTTAATTTGTCACGTGCTTATCCTTGTGGTTAATCTCTCCTATATGGGAAATTCTTAGTTGCCTTATTATCTTGTGGAAGAAAAAACACCTTTGAGCTTTTTCATGAAAAACCTAACAAAGGTTCTAGTCTAAAGGAAATCGCTAAAAGCACTGATCACATTTTTGGTGACAAAATTGCTTTCAGTCTCTGAGCCCTCCGTTCATGTTGACTTGAGTTCTCCCTCCCTCATCAATTTCGAGTACAGTCCATTCCACGTCACAATCACACTTTATTCCTGCTATGTGAATTATACGAAGATAGAGCTATAACAGCTGAAAAATACTATTTTGTTCCTAGAATTGAACTTAAAACATGTAGTAATAAGTGTGGCATATTGGGGGTAGCTATGTCCCGATTGAGTTGAAGCAAAAGCACTTCTGATTTTTATGTTAAATGTTAACAACAACAACAACTACCCAGTAAAATCCCACAAAGTGGGGTCTGGGGAGGGTAATGTGTACGCAGACCTTACCCCTACCCTGATAGGGCAGAGAGGCTGTTTCCGATAGACCCTCGGTGCAGAAAAAAGAAAAAGAGAAGGAGAAGGAGACAATTCATTAGTAACTCCAGTAGAAACCATAATAGTATCAAAAGCATAACAACCAAAAGAAGCATAACATTTATGTTAAATGTTAACTGGCTTTTATTTGTTTCCATGTGATTTTTTTGGGGGGCTACACACCAATAAAAAAATGATAAACGAAAATCTCTATCTATTTATCATAGGTTCTACGTGCAATAATAGACAAAACTAGGCACGCCAATAGTGTCATGCTTGTAAAGATTGTAGCAAGGTCGGAATATGGATTGACATTTAGCGATTTCGTAGGTTTTAAATGTGAATATGTGCGCATGGGAAATGGATCTCACCGCCACTAAGATAGACCGTTAGTTAGATTTTTTTTTTCATATGGTAGATTAGCAGATAAGGGGTTCCGAATTCTGACAACTGTAGCTGCTCTAGATATTATTACTGGGGTGTGGTTTGACCTTGTAGTTGATTCTCATTAAGATATTGTAAATACAAGGATAAACAGATGTTGAGGCTGATTGGCAGCATAAGATTATAGTACAATGGTTGAATCAATAGCCTGTGAAGGTGAATAACCAAGCTTATACACTTTTGTTAATGTATGTAAATAAATCTGATACACTGGACTGTAGATGCAGTTCCATTAATGAACTGAAGCAAATTGAAGTGAGAGGTTGAAACTGATCTTACTTAAACTTACGGTGGTGCAAAGTATTCATTACAACAAAAGTACAGGTGCTAATGTTGTTTGGCTAACTTCTTTATCTGTTGCTTCATTCTGTTGTTTTTTACTCATATTCTGTTGGTTCTTAAAATTTTCTCATATGATTTACCCTGTTAAAATAAAGGTATTTCTCTTTCAACTTGACAGCTGATTCTTTTACGTTATGTTTGTGTCGGTTATTGAGGTGTAGTTTTTGTTGTATGCTTGTGTCAGTTATTCCATTAATGTTGACCGTAGAATTCTTTGGGTGTAGCTTCATCTTTGTGGTATAACACCTTTACTTTGCCAATCAGGGGTCATTGAGGGAGAACAGAGAACACAGTGATGATTATGTAGTCCCTGATGGTGATTGGTTTCAATATGTTTCATCTCCTCACTATTTGGCTGAGATTGTAACTTCTCTTTCTCTTACTAATGTTTTGTATATTTCACGTTACCGACCTTTGTCAAGATCTAAATTACACGTTTCTTTTTGCTTTTTACTCGTACTGAAGGTTATATATGCTGGCTTCGTGGTTGCTAGTGGATGTTCAGACCTTACGATATGCCTACTCTGGGGATTTGTGGTACGACTCTGTTCATAGTCTTGAGAAGCACCCTCCACTTTCCCACCCTATTTGCTTCCTTGCCCATGTTCACTTTTTCATGTGATGTTTACTTGTTTTCTGCAACGTGATGTGTCGTGTTGCAATTCCAGGTGGCAAATCTTGTTTTAGCAGCAGCTGAAACACATAGATGGTATCTGCATAAGTTTGACAACTATCCTAGGAATCGTTTTGCTATTTTCCCATTTGTTTATTAATATGCTTTATGTCCAAGTTCTGCTATATTGTTTCTTTGAGCGTAACTGTGACTGTATATAGATGTGAATTGTTCTTGGGTTAGCTGGTAGAAGCTGCATTCTGGCCATTGACAGATCTATGGATCAAAAACTTAGCCAACCTTTTTAGTGAGTCAATCGGAGCAAATGTGGTTTTCCCTTTTGGGTTTTTCCTACAGCTTCCCTATCATGCAACATAAATAATTGAAGATTGTGGATGTTGCAGCAGAAGTTACATGAATAAGATCAGATTGTCATCAAGGTTACTCGGATCATCAAAAACATCGTACTTGTGTTGGATTCTTAGAAAATGCAAGTCATATCTCAGTCAATATTAAACATAACTTAGTTTTCAACAAGCAAACCCTCCTAATCTTAAAATTTATGCAATGGCGAATCCAATCTCTGCACCTATGTTGGATACTTGCACCTGTATCCGAGCAACAGACAGTCAATTATGATCACTTGATCTGAAAATTGCTTATTATTGGACTTGTGTTACTAACGTATCTCATTCAAATGATAAACTCCACGTAAATTTCATTAGACAACATTAATGCTATTATGTAAGCGGAGGAATTTTGAGTCTGTTTAACTCAACAGAGAGTTTTAATCGCCTTTAGATTGGAGATGCGTTTCACCGAGAAAGAGGGCATCTGCTCTCCCAGAAATTCGACCACCAGGACTATCCCATCATCCTTGATACAAGTTTGAAATAAAGAAACATAAGATACACTACCTTTCCAGACCCCACCCCACTTGTTACACTGGTTTGTTGTTGTTCTAAGATACAATCCAACTAATACCTAACATCATCTCACTTTGCCAAGTTCAAATCGGATGCTGGTCTAAGAAGCTCGGTCCCTTTTCCTGGTCCCCAACGAGACATCAAACACGAAGCTGTTTAGGCATACAGATCTATGCCCCAGAACTTTGCAGGTTGATTGGTCCTATACTTGCGGTCCAAACTTTTGAGGAGGTCCATGTCTTCTTTGGTGAGCTCGAAGTCAAGAACGTTGAAATTCTCCTGCAGTCTCTCCAGTTTTGATGATTTAGGAATCACAACTGTGTTTCGCTGGATGCCCCAGCGCAGAACAACCTGGGCCACAGTCTTCTTATATTTCTCAGCTAGACCCTGATGCAATAAATAGCAAACATAACTTGAGTTACAACAAACCAGTAATATGAATCAAATTTTTGCAAAACTTTCACAGGAACAGTTCACAAATTATAGAAAATATAAGAGCACGAGGTTTTACTTTTAGAGCTGGATCCTCCAGGCATGATACTGAACCAAACCATTCAGTATTAGCGGCAGCACCACCAAGAGGTGTGTGGGCTGTAACACAGATGCCATGCTTTTGGCAGAATTTGACAAGAGATTCACGCTGGAAATAAGGATGAGTCTCGATTTGATTCACAGCAGGCTTCACTTTGGAATATGCTAAGCAATCCCGGGTAAGGAAAATGTCATAGTTGCTGCACATCAATTTCCGTTATAAGATTAAGAATAAAGCCTAGTCAATTAAAAAAGCAGTTAAACTTGATTTATCAAGTAGCATACTCTTCTATGCAAGGATGCACCACATTTGAAAGTAAGCCTGTAAAGTAGTAGGTCGAAGAGCTGATTTCACAACAAGTGCATACTGAATTCAAAATTCAAAGAAATGATGCTCATTTCAAGCACTACGGAGTACGGACCAATTAAGTATGTGTTTTGCAGTCTGAATACACATTGCACATGGAACCATCAGAACAATGCCTATATACATATTATTTACAGAAACATGTTATATCATAATGCATTTATAAAATAAGTTAGAGAATTAATAGGAACTACGCAAAATACGAGGAATAAACTTCCAGTTAAACACTCGAGCCTCTCTTTAATGCCTTACTTCAGCTACTAATTATCAGTAGCATGAAAGCTTGAATAAAGGGGAGCATAGATTTTTAAGCTGTAGTATACCTGATCCCTATGCTGCGAACCAAGCCGAGGGAGACTAAATTTTCCATTGCATGCCAAGTAGTCTCCAATGATATGGTAGTGTCGATATCCAGAACACCATCCTCACCCAGTGCACTAGCTGTTGTACCAACTCCTACATGCATGTAAAGCAACAGAACTTAGCCATTTCAAAAGTACACAAAGTTCTTGCTTTCAAGCAAACTCGAGCAACTATTTTACAGCACATTGATCACTAACTATTTCATGCGATGTGATTGTACTAAATATCAAAGAAAGTATGATCTTGCTGACTAGTTAATTCAGGTTTTCAGTGGCATCAATATTTGGACATCGGAAAAGTTTATGCATAGGTATTCAGCCAAAAGATCATTATGCGAAGTATGATCTTGCTGACTAGTTAATTCAGGTTTTCAGTGGCATCAATATTTGGACATCGGAAAAGTTTATGCATAGGTATTCAGCCAAAAGATCATTATGCGTCAGTTGATATCAGCAGGCTAGTTGTCCGAAACAGGTGTTTTTGTGATACCATTGTTATGTTCAACAGTCTTCAGTATAAATGTGCACTTGAAACAATAGTCAGGATATAAAGAATAAAGATGAAATTGGTAAAATGTCCTATCAGCTATGAGTTCTGGCCTCTCTCACTCTTAATCACAACCCCAAACAAACAGAAACATGGAATAAATACACTAAAGTCTGAAGAAAGTTGAAGGAAAAAAAGGCTAGCAGTGTCACCTGTATGTCTTGTGGCTACTGGGAAGTGAACAAGGTAGAGATCCAAGTAATCCAGGCATAACTTCTTAAGGCTGTCTTTACAGGCCTCAAGAACATGACCATGATCTGAGTTCCAAAGCTGCAGAAAGGAGAGGTAAATATGCAATTCACAGCAAAATCTAAAAACTATGTAAACAAATGAAATTAACGTTCTAACACTAACCTTGGTCGTAATGAAAAGATCCTCCCTCTTCACAAGCCCCGTCTGAAATGCTTCTGCAAGTGCTTCCCCAACTTCAGCTTCGTTTTGATAGTCAGCTGCAAGCAAATACCAAATGTCAAATCACCAGTGCGATACACTATGAGTGTATCATGGGATTGCCCCAAGTCGGCAATCTTGCATCCATCATGGTTGTCATAGATCAATTTTCAAACTATGCAACTTTCATAGCAGCCCCGCAAAACATCTCAGCAGAAGATACAGCTCGACTCTTCTTCTCGCACATTGTCAAACATTGGGGCCTGCCCAAAAACATTGTTAGTAGGCGCGACTCACGCTTCACTAGCAACTTTTGGACCCATCTCTTCAGGTGCTTTGGGTCAACATTGAGTCACAACACAGACATCCATCCACCATCGGATGGCCAGACAGACCGGTTCGATGACATGCTGGAGGAATATCTCCGCAACTTCGCAACCGGATCACAGAAGCATTGGGTGAAGCTCCTGGATGCTGCTCAACTGTGTTTCAATTCTCAAAAGAGCCATCATACAAACAA